AATTGCTTTAATTGGACGATGTTTATTGGGTTGATAAGATTTCCCGAGACGAATAACTTTAATCGGTGTTTTGTTATCGGACGATGTACCTTTGATAATTTTAGATATTTCTTCCTTATCGTAAAGTACTCTTTCTTCAATATTACTAGACGTACATTCCGGAATATTATAAAATAATACATTCGCAGCCCGAAAATTTCGTTCGTTCATTTCGTTTATTATAAATTCGTCAGATCTCGATGAACACGAATTATTCTTAACATTTTCAACCTCAACCAACAAAGAACTGATTAGTTTATTGACTGATTATTAAATATAAAAAAAATACATTTCAATTCTTTATGAATTTCAGACCATAGTTTATTTGTTATTCCTTTAGATCTTTGATTTGCAGGCATCTTGTAATGCCATAATGGGTGACGGTCCTGCAACCATGATATCAACACCTGTTCAAAAGTAAAATCTTGTGCATGCTGAGTACTTATAGGATCATCAATTGATTCTTAAACAAAATAATTATACTGACATTATTAATTGTTTTAAATTTTAAACTTATTTTCAATATTATACTTTGAGTTAACACAGTATTTTCACATTCTTCAGTATCATTTATTCCAACTTGAACTATTTCATTATACAATTTGTCAAGTATATTACATTCAAAAGATTTGATTGGACATCTTAAAAAATGAATTTAAAAAATATTATTTATACTTGAATCGGTTTAAACCAGGGGGGTGGACTCCGGGTCTGGACCCCCCTCCCCATTGGCACGTATAATATTAGGTATATTAAACATAGGTATATTGTATATGTAATTAAGATAGATGATTTATTTTGACCCCCTCCCCCATGAAAAATCCTGGTTGCGCCGGTACTGTTGTATACTACACAGTATACCATATTATGGACACTTTATTTGTATACGTGTATTTTAAAATTATTATTGATAAATTTATTATCAATGATAATATATAAGTAAATACTTACTTCGTTGACATTTGGGGCTTTTAACACAATTCGGAATTATTTCAACTTTTCACCGTGTGGTTATAGTTGGTATAATATCTGATAATTTTTCATAGAAAACAAAAAGAAAATACTGGTTTAAAGACAAATGCCAAGAATCAATAGCTAAAAGAACTACACTAAGATACAAAATGATACAAAATAATTCAGATGAAAATAGGAAAGAATATGAACAGGGAAGAAAACAAACGCATGCAATCCTTAGAAAAAAAAAAAGACTATATATGAAAAAGTAAATCACAACTGTAGAAGATAATAGAAAAAATCCAAGGCAGTTCTTTGAAAGAAGTGGAAGGATTAAACAAGAATTTAAACCAACCACAGACAAATATGATGATAAACGATAACAAAGAACTAGTAACAGATAAAAAATAAATAGCAGAGATGTTTAAAACCCATTTTGAGAACCTCCAGAATAGACCCGAAAGTATATCAGATGAGACAGAAGACATTATGATTACAGTAAAATCCACTAGAGAAGAAATAGCAAAGATAATAAAATTCACTTAAAAACCATAAATCACCGAGTAGGATCAGATAACAGCAGAGCTACTGAAACATGGAGGAAAACAAATGGTGGATGATGTGCATAAGGTAATTATAGAAATCTGGAAAACAGAAACCATGTCAGAGGAATGGAACACAGCAATCCTTTGCCCAATATACAAAAAAGAAGACCCAATGTCACCTGAAAACTACAGAGGGATATTTCTATTTTCTACTACACATAGGCTACAAAATACTGACAACGCTCATAATGGAACGCTTAAACAATTATGTAACAGACATAATAGGGGATAACCAATGCGGATTCAGTAAGGGTAAATCGAACAAAGACCTTATACACACATATCGACAAATGACAGAAAAACATTATGAATATAATGAAGATCTGCACTTGGTATTTGTAGATTTTAAACAAGCATACGATTTAATAAGCAGGAAAGAACTATGGAAAACAATGAAAAACTTTGGAATACCTCAAAAATACATATCCCCAGTCAAAATGTGCAATAGTAACACCAACCTTAAGGTACGATTCTGGCAAGAAACGTCAACACAATTTAAAGTACAGGCTGTCCTCCACCAGGGCGATGTATTATCTCCAATGCTATTCAACATAGCCCCAGAGAAAGTGGTAAGGGATATGTCAGAAGATCGGAAAATGAATTGAATGTTCTATTGGCATATGCTGATGACATTGTAATAATGGGAAACTCAAGAGATGATGTTATACAAACCACTCAAATACTGCTGAAGACGAACAATAGGATGGAACTAGAGGTGAACCAACAGAAAACCAAATATATATGTATGTCGCGAGCAGAGGCAGATAACTCAGATCTAGAAGAAGATAATCTCACCTTCGGAAAAGTTAATCAATTCACATACCTCGGGGTAAACATGAACAGTACAAATATTATGCATGATGAAATTAAAAATAGATTAACAAATGCTAACAAGTGTTATTTTAGTTTATTAAAACTACTTAAATCAAAGCATCTATCTTATAAATCAAAGAAAATCCTATACACCAGTTACATTAGACCGATCCTAACATATGAATATGAGACATGGTCAACCACCAAGGGAAACCACCAGAGCCTAATTACCTTTAATGTATATAACGTGGATGGTCGAACTATTAAACAAGCACTGATGGCTGAAAGGACAGGTAAAAGACCTCTGGGCAGGCCCAGAACAAGATGGAAGGACTCAGTCGTGAAGGATCTAAGAGTACTTCAAGAAGCGGTTCTGTTAGACATAGGGAAGAATGGAATAAGTTTGAGATGGCAGCTTTGGGCCTCAATGGTCCCTTAAGCTGTATATAATGATGATAAGTATTCAAATTGTTTTTGTAAACAAATTATTGTATGATTTACATATAATTAATAAATTATATTATTGCTGGTTTGAGTGGTGATTGATTGTTTAATGTTTATACATATTATGAATACTTCTTAGGCGAAAGTTGATTATCCTGAGTTGTTGTATAATCCTTAAACATCCTTGGATATACAACAAACGGTAATAAATATAATAAATAAAAACATATTATCTATATAACCTTATCTTCATAAAATTTATATTTATTTAAACATTAACAGGTACATAATAAACATTAGTTTTGAAGAGTCTATAAAGATCAATTTAGATTCAAACAACCGAATTATTACCAAAACAACAGACAGGGTAATTTATTAGTATTAAGATAAAAGTTGAAGCTAAATAAAAATATTATTTTTTAAGTAATATTACAATACATTGACAGTTATAAATAAAAGGTAATAATGGGTAATATAATTCAATTTCAATGAATATTATAACAATTGTTTGTTTTGTTTCTATATTGCAAGTATGATATTTCCAGATACTGGGTTCGTCTTTTAACAAAAGTTCCGATAAGTCATTTATTATTTTTATTAAATTTAGCTTATACTTCACTATTTCTTAAAAATAACATAGCATCTAAAGCCGGAATTATATGTACTTTTTTACATAATATTCTTTATCCATTATTTCATTCATCTCACCTTTAGCTATTTGTAATAACCCTCTTATTGATCTAAATTATGGCCTGCAGATTTCATTTAGGCCAATCATGGTTCAGGAAAATTCAAAGTGACAATAATTTATAAAAAAACTACAATTCAAAATCTGAACTAGGTGTTTGGTTGAAACAATTTTTTGCACTTGGATTTTTACCTTCGGAAGATGTAGAAGATGCTTTTACTTAAAAAGGGTTTAAAATAGCCCTACTGATAATTTTGAATTTACTGATTATATACTGAACAATTATATATCATTTGATGCCGGTTTTCCACCGATTTTATGGGCAACTGAACCTTCAACAGAGGCAAGAACGACCAATGGGCCAGAATCTTTCCTTAGCCACTATAATGCTCAGTTTTATACTTCTCATCCATCTATTCACCAAGTTATATACAGTGTGATCACGCTAAGAGGTACCAGTGAATATCTCAGATGGGTGTCTTTGTATTGAAATATGGTTTTCGGGAGGTGATAAGGAGCACTTAAATACATATTTTCAGAACAGTTTCAAATTTTTAGCTCACTCAGTACGCGCATGCGCAATGCAACTTACTTTTTTTTAAACAGCAACCCCAATTTTTTTCTGCAGATTCGTGTAGAGTATTTTTTTTTAAACATTTATTGTATTAAAAGTTTTTTTTCTATTTTCAAAACTGACCAAGTGAGAGTAAGTCAAAAATTGGATTTATGCATAATTCGTGTTTAATGATATTTTCATTATATTTTATAACCACTGGAAATAATAAAATAAGTGTGAAATAATTAAACATTATTTTTAGTGTATGGTATTTTGTTAACTGTATAAATTAAATGTACAACAAAATAGTTATAACTTATAATGATAATAGTAATAATAATATCATAATAAAAAATAAAATCTATTAAATACATTTATCGAATGAATTGTTCGAAGTTTTCTCCATCATGTTCTAAACATGTGTTAAGGCATAAATGTAATTGATAGTTTTTTTTATTTATTTTAATAAAGCATTTTTTTTGTTTTTAATCGGTTGGCGGCGTTTCGACGTGGTTACGAGTCTGTGTTTTGAGCAACCAACTGAAGGACCGGCGGCGATCGTAGCCTACCTTATACATAATAAAGATAAGCCGACCGGTCCCTATCGCGAACAATTATTGTATCTACTTTTTCCTATCTCACGACAATGAATCGTACCGAACACAGCCGCCCACCTTGAAACATTAATTTTCAACTTAAATTTATAAAATAGGGTAACAAATAAATAATAATACAATAATTAACATAATTCATAATATGACCTACTTATAATGATCAATAGGTATCTTAAACACTAATCATAAATATTATATAAACAACTCAAATTGACTATTAAACAAATAAACAAAATATATAAATAATAAATGTAAATAAACTCGTGTCTTAACCCGGGTGGCCTTTGCTAAATCGCATTCCCCTCAAATGGCAAAGGACAAAGTAAGCGCACCGCCCTTTTCCATACACCGCTACTGGTTTGAACCGATGCTGCACGGATCACACCGTCTGCACCAGGCTCGACCTTGACCACTCGTCCTAAGCGCCACTGCAAAGGAGGCAGGTTGGTGTCCCGAAGTATTACCACTGTCCCAATTCTTACTGACGGACCTTTCGCACCTGCCCATTTAACCCTTTCCTGGAGCTGATTCAGATACTCATTACTCCAGCGATTCCACAGTGTTTGAGAGTATTTTGCCACTCTTCGCCACCTGTCCAACCGGTTATCAGGTGTAGCCGTCTCATCACGCTCGGGCACCGCGGTTATAGCGTCTCCGATTAAAAAATGACCGGGCGTTAAAACGGTCAAATCGGTTGGATCGGAGGACATTGGAGTTATAGGACGGGAATTTAAGCAAGCCTCTACCCTAGTTAGTACCGTACTCATTTCCTCATATGTAAGTCTCGCCTCGCCTAACACTTTGTATAATAAACTCTTCATAGACTTTACCGCCGCCTCCCACAACCCGCCAAAATGCGGCGAGCGGGGCGGTATGCACTTCCATTCGACGCCTTTATCCGCGAGAGCTGTTACAATTTCGTTTTGGTGATCCGAAGACTGAAAAAATTGAAATATTTCTTTGAGTTGCCTTTGTGCTCCAATAAAGTTTGTAGCGTTGTCTGAATATATGACTGAACTTCGGCCTCGACGGTCAAAAAATCGGTTTAAAGCTTGTAAAAATGTTTTCGTCGTTAAATCACTAATCAATTCAATGTGGACCGCCTTCGTTGCAAAGCAAACAAATATTCCGATGTACCCCTTTGAACATGCCGCCTTTCTTCGTAAACTAGTTTTTATCATTATCGGACCAGCAAAGTCGATACCACAACGCGAGAACGGCCGACTCTGTGTTACTCTATCACGCGGTAGGTCACCCATAATCGGCTGCACGATAACTGGTTTTAATCTAAAACATGTTACGCATTTATGCACAGTATCACGCGCAATATTACGCGCCTTCAACGGCCAATATCGCTGCCGAATCGAAGCTACGAGTGCTTGTGGACCGCTATGCAATAGTTGTACGTGTTCACGGCGAAATAATAGTCGTGTGTACGGACTATCACTGGGTAGGACTATCGGGTTTCGCTGATGCATGTCCAGGTTTATTGCATTTTTTAATCGACCGCCGACGCGTAGAAGTTTTTCTTTATCGTAATATGGTCGTAATCTAAATAGTTTGCTTGTTGTGGCTACTTGTGTACTTCCGCTTAAAGCTTTTATTTCCTTGCCGAAGTGTTCTAGCTGCACCATTCTTATCAATGCGAGGTTTGCGTATTCTAACTCGAATGCTTGCAATGGGCCGACAATCAATTTTTTCTTTCGCCAGCGTAAACAATACGCCGTTATACGTATGATTTTACTTAACGAAGACCGTTCGGATAAAAGTGGATAATTACATTTCGCTGTACAAGTTAAACTGCACGTTTCTGCCGTCGTGGTGTTATCTTTCGCCTCGGGTATATTTGTGTCTGTCGCAGTATACGCTTTCGATTCGACAATTGGCCACGCTGTACTCTCCTCGCTGAGCCACTTGGGGCCATGCCACCAAATCGCATTTTCCTTTATACGTTTTGCCTCACAGCCACGTGATATAAGATCTGCCGGATTATCCAGCGTACTTACGTGTGCCCATTCACTAAATAACGTCAAATCTTGCACCTCCCCGACCCTATGGACTACAAAGGTCTTCCATCGGGTTGATGGTGACGATATCCATGCGAGTGTTACCTTCGAGTCACTCGACGCTGGACTATAGGTAAATTTAATTTTGGGATTACTCGGCTTGCTAGCCGGGCTAATAGTAGTGCGGCACACAACTCCAAACGTGGTAGCGATATGACTTTCAATGGCGCCACCTTTGACTTTGCGCAAATTAAATTTACGACATTCTTTCCTACCAAATCAGTGCTACGCAGATATAGGCAGGCGCCATACGCCTTTAAGGACGCATCTGCAAAACCATGCACTTGAAATTCTATATTTATACCGTCGCATATTATTTTTCGTGGTATTGATATTTCGTTTAACTGTGACAGGCCGTCCCGACATTTAAGCCATTCGTTTTGAATGCTCTCCGGTAGTGGATCATCCCAACCAGCCTTTACCTGCCACAGGTTTTGCATTATTAACTTTGCATTTACTATTACTGGGCCGAGCAGTCCTAACGGGTCAAATATGGTCGCTATTTCGGATAATATTTTTCGTTTTGTTGTTATTAGTTTATCTTCTATTTGGCGCACGGTGTATAATAGCACATCGTTATCTGAATTCCAATTTAGTCCTAATATCTTTGTTGACTTAGTATCACCCACCGCCCGCACTCCGCTACTGGTACATTGAACGTCTGCGATTAGGTCGCTATCATTAGACATCCATTTACGCAGTACCAAGCCCGCACCTTTCATAATTGCCGTAAGATTGTCTCGTAATTTTAATGCTTCCGATTTATTCATGGCACCCCCTAAGTAATCGTCCATATAAAAATTTCTTACGATTGACAAACACGCCTCGGGATAATTTTCGTATTCAGCTTCTGCCAAATTTTCCAAACACGCCGTTGCCAAATATGACGCGGGGACTGTGCCGTACGTTAACGTATTAAGTTGATATTTCTGTATCGGTTGCGTTGAATCTGCTCGCCATAATACTCGTTGGTAACTTCGATGATTTTTCGTGACCAAAATCTGTCGATACATTTTTTCTATATCCGCCGATATAACGTAATTATACGTCCGGAAACGCGCTAATATATATAACAACTCGTCTTGAATCGCAGGCCCCTTCATTAAAATGTCATTAAGACTAATGCCTGTATCGGTTTTACACGATGCGTCAAACACTACGCGTAATTTTGTAGTAGTACTATTTTCATTACGGACTGCGTGATGCGGTATATAATATGACTCTCCGGCGCTGCAGTTATCATCTTCACCGATAATCTCCATATGCCCAAGTTCTTCATATTCAGACATAAAATTAGAATATTCTGTCTTTAATTTTGGATCCCTCTGAAAACGCCTTTCCAACGATAACAGCCGACGCTTCGCTATCTCGTACGAGTTTCCTAATTTAGGTTTATCTTTTTTGAATGGTAAGTGTACGACAAACCTGCCACTGCCGTTCCGTTTAACATTTTTTTCAAAATCATTTTTACACGCCTTTTCTTCCAAAGTGTACACTTTTTTTTCTCCATACTCCTCGAGCCTCCAGAATGTCGCAATTATCCTTTCCAAATCTGTCTCCGGGGTCTCACCCGTCAGTAAACATATCGCACTGGATGAGTGTTCATATTCGGATTTTTCCGGAAGTCCTAACGGACCCGAAACCACCCATCCCAAGCACGTCTCTTGGAACACCGGTCCCTCCGCTATTGGTTTAAGTCGTCCAGATTGCATTAAATCGAAAAAGTGATTGGCCCCAATTAATAAATCTATTTTCTGTGGTTTTAGAAATGATGGATCAGCCAACTGTACACCGTTAGGAATTACGTAATTTCCTTTAAACACTCTTGACGGTATGTTTGTCGTTATGCGTTTTACGACTAAATACGATGTAGATAATGTGAACTCGTTATAATTTGATATGATCGTTGTATTCACTGTCGACGACACTGTCTGCGCGCTATCTCCGATTCCCGATAAGCTATGATTAATACGTTTTTTCTTAAGTCCTAGCACTTGAACCATTTCTTCAGTAATTAAATTACTCTGTGACCCAGAGTCCAGTAATACCCGTCCGGGTACCAAATTACCTATCTCGTCACGCAATAATATTATCGCTGTCGCCAATAAAATACGATCGTCCAATATTACCGACGCGTGGGCACTTATGGACTTTGACTCTTCATCGCTCCTTCCTGCAATATTCAAGCCAGCTGTTGTCGACTGGACCTGTATTTGTTCGTTTGTCGTTGATTTATTTCCCACTCCAGACAAGTGCAAAAGCGTGTTGTGCGGCTTTGCACATTTGAAACAAAATCGCGCGTTACATTTTCGACCGTCGTGTTTACGTAAACAAACTTTACATAAATCAAGCTCCGTTGCGCGTTTTATTCTATCCGATATGTCTAAACCGCAAAATGTAGGGCACTTATAAATCGTATGTTCTGATCCACACACATAACATTTTAATTTTGACGTAGACGCGAACGACTTCGACGCGCTTCCTTTTTCATAATAATTTTTCGCGCTGGTTTCTATAGGCCGCTGCGCTCGAACACTTATGTTTTTTGCGACCTCTATGGCTTCTAAAACCTTGAATTTCGATTCCAAGAATTGAATAATCTCCGACACCGTTGGCACCTTATCATGCGACGATTTTGATTCCCACTCTCTCAATGTGGTTTTATCAATTTTTGTTGCGATTAAATGTATTAATAGTGGTCCCCAATCCCCGGGTCGTTCGCCTAGCGCCTCTAAAGCCCGCATGTGTCCACTGAGCGTGTCCGTAAATTGTCTTAGCTTACTCGCCGATTCGCCACTCATTGCTTCAAGGTCGTATATGGACTTTACGTGTGCCTGTACTAACACTCGTTTGTTATTGTACCGCTGCACAAGAGATTTCCAAGCTATCGCATAATTATTCGCCGTCGTCTCCAAACATTGTATAGACGCTAGTGCTTCGCCGGACAGTGATGCTCGCAAATGGAAAATTTTTTCTATATCACTGATATCCGGATTTTTATCCACTAATACGGAAAATATATCATAATATGACGCCCATTCATGATAATTTCCGTTAAATGTAGGCACATTTAACGCTGCTAACTTAACTGCCGGGGTTGCTTTTTTTTCATAGAACGTTTCGCTTTTGCTTTTTTCGCGCTCCTCTATGCCCTTCGTTTGTGTAATTATTTTCTCCGCCGCCGCCACACTTTTAAAGTATAGGTCCTCGAATATTTCCCTATACTCATTCTGTGTATTTATGTCGACCTCTTTCTGCGCCTCTATCACAGATTGAAGTTGCTCATACTCTATCCACACCTCTTCAATCTTTTCTCGTCGAGCTTTTATCTCGACTGGATCGACATTTGGAGATTGTAGGCTGTTCCAAAAGCGCGTTATCGACGCTTTTAACTGCCCCCTTCGTATATTCATATTCTCAACTCCATCCATTTCGGAGCTATGAGTTACTATTATACAAAATGCTTAAACTATCGAGGGTAAGCAGGTACTATTTTTTTACAATTCGGGTAGAAACTATAGGTATTTATTTTATTACTTTGGATAAAATGTATAACGCCCTTACCTTATATAGACTGTTATTCACTGGTATCCATAGTCCATACGCCACGGAACCACTCACTACACGTTTCGATTTATTTTGAGGTTAGACGCAACGATACCTCGTGTTACTTTTTTTTTTGCAACTATCAATTTTACCGCACCTTTACGTGATGAAAGACTATTCAGACGTTGATTCACAGATCACGGGCGAAGGACCAAATGTTAAGGCATAAATGTAATTGATAGTTTTTTTTATTTATTTTAATAAAGCATTTTTTTTGTTTTTAATCGGTTGGCGGCGTTTCGACGTGGTTACGAGTCTGTGTTTTGAGCAACCAACTGAAGGACCGGCGGCGATCGTAGCCTACCTTATACATAATAAAGATAAGCCGACCGGTCCCTATCGCGAACAATTATTGTATCTACTTTTTCCTATCTCACGACAATGAATCGTACCGAACAACATGATTCCAGTCGTCTCAAAAATTCCGTTCAAGTTGCCGCAGTGATTTGATCCTCACTTAAAATATCACATGATGTTTGTATTTTGTGTTTTAAGTCTTGAAGATTGACAGGGGGATCTGCATAAACCGCAGTCTTTAAATATCCCCATAAAAAAAAATCCAATGGCGTTAAATCTGGAGATTGTGCAGGCCAAGGAACAACCCCATTAGTACCAATCCAGCGATTAGGAAATATTTTATTTAAATGTTGTCCAACAATAATTGCATTGTGGACTGGTGCTCCACCTTGCTGGAAAAACATACGTTCTCGTGTGTTTAATGAAACATCATTCAACAGTCTTGGAAGTTCGTTGGTTAAAAAATTAAGATATCGTCTGCCATTAAGCATACCATCATAAAAGAACGGTCCTATTAGCTTTCCACCAACCAACCCACACCATACATTAATTCCCCAGACCGTTTGGAAATTAGTTTCACGTGACCAGTGTGGGTTTGTGTCATCCCAGTATCGATGATTTTGTTTATTCATAATTCAAAAATTATCACATACTAGAGATATTCAATCTAGTGACTAATACAGTATTATTAAATAATTATTTGAAAACAGACAAAATCAATTAAACATTTGATTTTGTGCAAATCATTAAACACGAATTATGCATTAATTCAATTTTTGACTTACTCTAACTTGGTCAGTTTTGAAAATAGAAAAAAACTTTTAATACAATAAATGTGACGTCATAATTTCGCCGTTTACTCTGTACAGTGTACACGATTTTACGGGAGTAATAATCTCGCTATTTAAACGCTTATAACTCGGCTAATACTCAATTTATTGATGTAGACAGTTATAATAATTTAAAGTTCACAAATTAATCTTTTATTGCATGTATAATATTTTACCATAATAGGTTCAATGATTCAATTAAAAATGAAACTAACATTTAATTGTACGACTGTGGACTTGTGGACTATTTTAGGAAATGATGTCGGTATACAATGTGACATAAAAAATGACTACAGTAGAAATCACTATAACGAGCATCGCTTAGAACGAGATACTGCTTACAACAAGCAAAACGTTAGGTCCCGGCACGAGCACATATGATTGCACGTTAAAATATACGTTTACAACGAGTATGGTTATTACGAGTTATCGGCTATAACGAGTTAAATAAAGCTAACTGGACTAACGACCTTCCGGTTACTACTAACAAGTACCTGCAAGATAATAACTATTTTCGTATTTAAGTCGATTAATTATTGACATACATTATCTTTAGT